ACACAATTCAAATGACATTCTATGAAAAGCATAAGTACCAAAAGGATAAGTGAAAGTGGTTTTTTTCTGGTCTTCTAATGCAATTTCAATTTGATAATAACCAGAATAACTATTCAAGAAACAATAGAAAGGATGACCAGCCACACGCTCAAGAATTTGATCGATAAAAGGGAGAGGAAAATGGTCTTTTCGGGTGGCAGCATTCAATTTTTTGTAATCAATGCACATCCGCCATCGAGTCAAAAGTTTTGAAAGGACTAACTCTCTTAGGTCATTCTTTATCACAGTAACGACTGACTTTTTAGGGACAACCTGTATAGGACTTACCCATGTACGATCAGTAATATGATATATGATTCTTGCATCTAATAGTTTCAACTTTTCATTTTTCACCACTTCTTTCATAGTGGGATTAAGCCTGCGATGGGGTCTCTACAGGGGCTAGTTCCTTCCTCTAACTTAATTTTATGAGAACAGACCAAGGGACTAACATATTTTATATCAGCAATGCTCCAACCTAAGGCTTACTTATGCTTACTTAGGGTCCGAATTAATTTCTCACCTTGAGACTCAGACAATTCATATGAGTTTTAGACCCTTAGGTAGAGGCTTCAATTCAACTTTGGGTGCTTCCACACTTGAAGGAATTTGTTTTTCACCTTTCTTAGGCAACTCTTCAATCTTCGGTTACCATGCCCGAGTGTCATAGTCCTGAGTCCTATCAAAAATTGCACAAATATCAACTACATCAGATAGATCATTGATAAAATCAAACTAGAATGAACAAGAAAATACTCAAGGGGGATCACAATCATAAGCTATAGAAACTCCCCTATCCATAAGTGAGTCAATCATGTATGTTTGGTGGCTCTCGTCATCATCTGCTGGCTGTTTTGTAATATGAAAAATATTCAACTCGAGAGTCAGGTTTCCAAAAGACAGTTTCATGAGCCCATTCCTGCAATTAATAAGAGCATTAGCAGTGGCAAGAAAAGGCTTACCTAAAATCAAAGGAATTTTAGAAGTAGTATCAACAACAAGTTAGTGTCAAGGATTAGAAAATCAATAGGATAATAAAATTTGTCAATTTGAATTAGAACATCTACCACACCTCGAGGTACTTTGACTGAATGGTCAGCCAATTGCAACACCATAGTGGTTGATTTGATTTCTCCCAACCCCAACTACAAATAAATAGAATATGACATTAGATTCACACTAGCTCCTAAATCTAGTAAAGTTTGCCCAAACTCATGATTTCCAATATTACATGCAATGGTTGGACAACCAGGATCCTTGTACTAGGGAGGAATCCGCTGCTCAATTAGAGCACTAATTTGCTCTGGCAGGAATGCTTTCTTCTTCACATAGTGCTTCCTTTTAATTGTACACAAATCCTTAAGAACTTTTTGCATAAGTAGGAACTTGTTTCATCACATGCAAAAGAGGAAGATTGATTTTTACCTACCTTAGATTCTCTAAGATTTCATTGTTAGGATCCAGAGTTCGATTGCTTGATTTTAAAGCTTGAGGGAATGATACCTTAACAAGACTCTTTGTCATCTCAGATTCCTTGGTCATCTCGACATCATTATTATCTTGATCATTTTTCACATCCTCTGATTTGTCCGTTGTTGGGATGTATAATGAATCACCACTTCGTGTCACAAAGGCATTCATATCCTTCAAATTCTCTTGTGCCATGTGTTGACCATGGGGGTGCAGACTGAACTTGAAAAGGGAACTTATCTCGCTCATTCACACTCAAGGAGCTCATCAATTTGGACACTTGACTCTTTATTTATTTGTTTTCTTCAACAACCTGCATAATCAAAGATTCAAACTTTTGGTTAGTCCTACCCTGTGTCTCAATAAAAACATGCAAAGTGTCTTCTAAAGGACTCCTAGAAGATGAAGGTGCAAGATATGATCTAGGGGGTTGTGCAGGCGGTTGATTTTCAGACTTCTAGCTAAAATTTGGGTGATTGCGCCACCCCGAATTATAGGTATCAGAGTAAGGTGTAAAAGACTTCTTGTACATACCTAAGACATTACATTGTTCCTCATACATCCCTCTTATCTCAGCAAGTGTGAGACATTCTTGGGCGAGGTGATCTACCCCGCCACACACAAAACATGGTCCAAAAGACTCTGTATGATTAGTCATGTGTGTTGGCTTTAAGTCCTTAGTCTTTAACATATCTAGCTCCCTAGTGAGCAGTTCAACTTTAGTCTTTAGGCTATCCTCTTCCCTGAGATGGTAAATTCCACCACCATTTGAGCTTCCTACAGTTCGTGACCTATCTGTGCTTTCAATAGTACTAGGTCCAGTCCAAGTGTGAGCTTTTTCAGCAAGCTCATTGAGGTATTCTATGGCCTCATCAGGATCTTTTGTAAGAACTCATCATTACACATCATCTCCACAAATTGACGTTTTCTAGGTGTAAGTCCCTCATAAAAATAGCTTACTAAGCGCCAATTCTCATACCCATGGTGAGAACACACACTCAACAACTCCTTAAATCTCTCCCAAGACTAATACAAAGTCTCACTGTCATTTTGTGCAAAGGTGAGATTTGCCTTTTTAGAGCGTTTGTCTTATGTTAGGGGAAATGATTATTAAAGAAGACCTAAGTCATCTCACTCCATGACCTAATAGATCGTGGTCTCAGCGAGTATAGCCAACTCTTAGCTCTATCCTTCAAAGAGAAAGGAAAAAACTTAAGTCTCACAACATCATCAAGTGCAATTTGATTATGAAAAGTTGCAACTACTTCCTCAAACTCCCTAATGTGCACATATGGATTTTCATTTTTCAGACCATGAAAATTAGGGAGTAACTGTATCATCCATGTTTTAAAATCCAGTTGATGAGTATTAGTTGGAAACATGATGCATGATGGTGTGGCTGTGCGTGTAGGGTGGAGGTAATCAAGAAAAGTTCTAATGGGTTGATTTTCGTGTTCACCTATTTTTTCGGGACTTGATGTATTGTTAAATAAAAGATTTAAAAAATCTGATTCTAACTCTACCACATGTCTACGAGCAAATCTACCCAAGGAGTCTCTATATCTGTGCATGTAAGGCAACAGAAAACTAAAAGAATAAAAATACTATAAAAAAAAAGAAAAATAATAATAATAATAACAATGCAGCAAGCTAAAAGAAGGAATGAAGTTACCGCTTTTGAAAACTGTTGAAAAGAAAAACTATCTAGCAATTCTTCTACTATTTCTCCGGTAACGGCGCCAAAATTTGATTATGCCCAAAGAATAACGCGGTAGTTGTAGCACAACTTTGGGGTGTCGATTTCACATATAGACAAACTAAAAGAATAGTAGAAGGAATAAAGGAACTAAAGAAAAATATTAAATGATTATTAAAGAACAAAAATTAATTTTAAATGTAACTTAAAGTGAAGCAAAATAACTAACAGAAAAAAGTATTCAAATTTAACAAATAGTAAAGCGTCAGGAATCCCTTACATAAATTTGGTATTTTAATTATTCTTAATTCATTGAATAATTGAATTGAGAATTTAATTCTCAAAATTTTTAACCAGAAAATATAGATTTATAAACCAAGATTAAACCAAATGTAACCCTTTAAAAAATTATTTACCACTTTTAAAATACGTAAATTATTATCACTATTGAGAAAATCCAACGACGATAATATACTGAAGAAACAATATTGCAGCAAATAATTAAATCAATATAGACAAATAATTGATCCAAATATAATTAAAAAACTAATCTATTTAATAAAAAAAGTCTGACTAAATCCATAAACAGAATAAATTCTATTACTATTCGGAGAAGAAAACATCAATAATAAATTGAGAATGATAAAACAAAAGAGTTTTACTAATTAGAAATCAAATGCATAAATTAAAAATAAATAAAATGCTATATACTGTGCAAATTCATCCCTCGCTTTACCTGAGAATTTAGTTACCCATAAATATAATTGACAACAAAAATCTGCTCTTTGAACTACGTCTTCGTTCCTAATCAGAATAATCGTCTCCCTCTTTTTTTTCTTCCAGCCTTTTTAGGTCTTTAGCCTCCCCAAAAGCAAAAATAAAAAATAAAAAAATTCAAAGTCAATTCCCTTTTTTTGTAGAAAAACCCTTTTCCTGTCTCTCTTGATTCCAACCTTTTTACTTTAGCCCCTAAATCCCAAATCTTATGTAATTTGAAAAAGATAAGACCCAATAAAAATTATAAGTGTTGGGTCCAATAGACAACTGCATCAATTTCAGTCTTTTTACTCCATGGGCTGCCATCAAAATAAAAATAAATATAAAACCCTAATAATAAAGTTCTAAAAATATTAAGTGTGAAGTCCAATTATAAATTATCTCTCACCAACCAATAATGTAATATTTAAGATTTAAAATATTATAAAATCATGCTCAAATATATCTCAGTGTGAATAGATATTAAGTTCAATTATATAAATTATATATAATTATTTCTATTCACATTTTAACATTTTTATCCAATAATAACATTTTAACTACGTTGTTTGAAAATATTTATAGTTTTTTTGATCAAATCCAAACCACCGACTCTAACAGAGTTAGGGCCTGGAAAGACTTATAAACGCGCACACACACCCGAAACTATCCGACGTGGGATAGCCCAGTCCTCGAAAAATATTTATAGTTTGATAAATAAATTTGTAATTGAAGTATTTGAGTAAATAAGTTTTAAAAAATAATTAATTGATGTTTCTTAAAAAATTTCCGAAGTTTTATGGAAGTAGTTGACCCGTTTTGAATAGTCCATCCTTCAGTAGTTTGCTTGGAAACTTCGCCTTGCTTTCCTTGTCTTCCCTATCTTTGCCAAAGAAGAGAGAAGCCACAAAACTGGGGTCAAAATCCAGCCGGAAGGTCTCTTGAATGTCGTCTGTAACCATCGTCAGGTGAAATTGAAACCCAAAAACTCCAATCAACAACGTCAAAGGAGGGAGAAGAAGACAGGAAAAATACAATCATGAAGAGAGTTTTCGGAATAAAGAAAGACAAAGAACCCCCACCTACGATTAACGACGCCTCCGATCGAGTAATCTTCAATCCTTCACTCTTTACATTACATATGTGTGTGTGTGTGTTGTCAATGTTTGGGTATTGATAATGTGTTAGTAATTAGGGCTTCGAATTGGATTTTTTGTCTGAAGAGTTGCGTAAATTGTATTTCCACTTATTTATTCGTTCCAGATCAATAAAAGAGGTGACACAGTGGATGAGAAGATCAAAAAGTTGGATGCGGAACTTGCTAGATACAAAGAGCAGATCAAGAAAACCCGACCAGGTCCAGCTCAAGAAGCTGTCAAAGCTCGAGCCATGAGGGTTCTTAAGCAAAAAAGAATGTAGGTTCTCTTCTTCATGTTGTTGCCTCTTTGTGTGGATTTGCAATTAAGTTCATGGTATGTCTACTGTGTACTTTAGTCATATCCAGTAGCATCTCTTGATATCAATATGAGTGCAATATATTTACACTTTAGCTATTGGAAAATGGAAAATTGAAATTGGGCGTTTGCTGGATTATTCTTGATGTACAATGCGTGCACACGAATGAAAAATTGGAGTTTTAAAAAGAATGGACTTTGAAGCATGCGTCATGAAGATTAGAGTTGAATTTAAGTTTTAATTTTTGTTAGTTTGTTGGGACTTGAGTTTGAGACTTTTAATAATTGTTAGTCATGGGTCGTATCCGTAGTTCATTCTCCATCGATCATAAGATGGGTCCAACAATATTATTTGAGCTTTATTTGAAGTCTAACATATGTCTGGAAAAGTGTGAAGTTGAAAAATTCAATAGTTTCTCAATTTGGTTGTCGTTGTTGTACTTGCATTAGGAGAGTTTTATAGTTTTTGAATTCCGATCTTTGGTCCAATTTAAATTGATGTAGATGAATCGAGTTTGACAACTCAATTGTGAAGCTTGCGATACATTCATTGATATTTGCAATCTTACCTTTTGGTGTCATTCATGGAGGATTTTAGGTGGTTTTCCAAGATTTTCTTTATGCTTACTTGTTTCTCTGCATTTTTCATATACTTTATACCTGCCATCAGACCTTAAACCCCCCACCTTTAACCCTAAATTACAAATCCCAAGTATTTCCTCTATTGATATTCAACCTTAGCTCCAAAAAGACAATAAGCTAAACTTAGCGTTCACGACACTGTTTGAAATTAGCCCCCAAAAGCCCTTTCTTCTGCTGCCAAAAATCGGATCTGGTGTCATAGCTTGTAGGAGAGTGTTTTTCCCCACCTGTCTTGTGTCAGTTCTTGGCTGCATGAAACTCGAATTTGACCTGCCTTATTGTATTTCTTTGATGCATTGTTGAATGTGGATAACATTGATGTAGTTGATTAGGATTCTATTAGAAGACCTAGCATGGTGTACTTCTTTTTTATATCTTGACGAAGAAAGGGTTAAGGAGTGGTAGACTTTCTAATAATGAGGGTTATCAACATCATGAATATATGTAATAGAAAATTGCCTTATTGGAATATTGGGATCAAGTTGATTTTGGGTTGCTCTATTGAATTATTTTAATGTTGGAATTGCAATAAATTATGCAACAAATGTGGGTATACACAATCCTAGACCTGCATTATCACCCGTTATTAGACCATCTCCAACCTTCATTCATATTTTTAATCAAATTTGAGCCAATATTTGAATAAAAAACTTAATTTGATACAAAACACTTCAATGAACAAACTCAAATTTAAATGAAGATAAATTCAGAAGTAAAAGGGGGTGAAATATAACCGTTTGATCTTTAAAGAAGGGTGAAATATGACAATTGAAGATTTGAGTGTTCCTTTATTTGAGTAAAAATGTGAGTCTCCATTCATTTGATATGAATTTGAGTAAATGACTGGAGCTTAGTTTTAGTCTGCATTTATTCAAATTTAAATTTGAGTTAAAATTTGAATAAGGGTTAGAGATGGTCTTATTAAAATGCTTTTGCATTTCCTCATTGTGCCTATGATTCATTGTGTTGCCATCACCGACCAGTTAGGTGAAGCAAAATAGGTTAGATAGGATTGATATCATTATGGGCACACCCTAAACTTATAATTGGTGTTCATTTTATTATTAAGGCATCCTGTATGTATAAATGGGTTTTTTGTATTGCCATCAAATACATTGTACTACTAATTGATTTTTTCAAACATTTTATAGCATGTTTAATTACATTAGAAGATAGCTTGATTTGTGCATATAATTTCCGATGGTTATCCTAAGCGGACTAAGCTTTTGGGCAGGTATGAAGGACAGCGCGATATGCTATACAACCAGACATTCAACCTGGACCAAGTTTCCTTTGCTGCCGAGGGAATTAAAGATGCTCAACAAACAGTATGTCTTGAGGAGCTTCAAATATGTTATATGTTTTTTAATGATGAATTAAAATGAATAGTGACTATAGAGGTCCCATTAGTTTATCCATGTTTCGGGCTTCTTTGACGAAATATAAGTTAAGAGGTTGGATACACCCTCAGACTGAAAAACTCTGCATTGATTGTTTAGGAGATTGGATACCTCATAAATTGTTAAATGTCTGCTGTCCATGAGCAAGCTCGGGCTTTTAATTTTTTAAAATCTTAATATATTAATCGTATCCTGGGAGTAGAACACTAAAGAAAATGGAAGACAATAAATAATCTTGATATTTATTTTCTGTTAAATTCTGCCAAGAATGTGTTGAATGATTTGTGGAATGATGTGTTATCTTTATGGACCTTATAGATAACAAGTGAAGCCACGGATAAGTTCTATTATATTCTGTGATTCCACAAGTTGTATTGAGCATTAAAGCTCAATTTTTTAATTGGTTAGTTTCCAACTGGGGCTCCAATGATTAAGCTGTCAAGATTAATTATAATGTGCACCATTCATGTAATGCTGGATCAAGTTTGGTTATTTTGGGGCCACATTATATTCACTATATAATATTTGTTTTTTGTGGTAGCGCCCCAAGGGGCATAGTTCAAAGCTTGTAAGGAGGAGCTTATTCTGTAACCTGATTGGAACCTGCTGCCTACCTCATGAGAGGTAGCATGTAGCTAGATGAATAATTCATTTGAATCATAGAGCCGCATATTGTTCTTGTATCTTTATAATTTAATCTTCTATATGGTAGGGTGGACTTCTTGTCACTTTTACTCTCTATATTTCATTATTAATGAAAGTCTTGTTTCTTATCGAAAAAAGAGGTAGGGGTCAACCCATTTGTCTCTAAGAATGGATTTTAAAAATGTCGTGCCGCTTTGTGTCCTTGATTTTCTCATCAGTATCCATTTTAATGCTTAAGGAGATCTGTGTTCTAAATTTACTTTTTGAGATATGATATGTGAAGAGATTAATTTTATTGCATTCTTTCCAGATGTCAGCTTTGAAATCAGCAAACAAAGAACTGAAAGGAATGATGAAGACCGTGAAGATTCAAGATATAGATGTTAGTATATTGTTGATCTGTTCTTCCTCTTCTATTGTGGTCATCATTGATAAAAATTTACTAATGCTTTGCAATAAACAATATTTATACGTAGAACTTGCAAGATGAGATGATGGATCTGATGGATGTGAGCAATGAAATCCAAGAGTCCCTTGGTAGAAGCTACAATGTACCTGATGACATCGATGAGGACGAACTCATGGGTGGTAAGTTCAGATGCCATATATAATCTTTGGTACTAAAGGGATAAATGTGATACGTGAGATTGTTACCTGCAATGGAAGTAAAAATTTCTTATTTTCCTTCATATTTTTCCTGAGCAAAATGATTGTCACAGATTTGTGAATCTTTTACTTTAAACAAAGATGTTTAAGTGTTTAAAAACTATATGTACTGCAAGATTTTCTTGGAATCCCTGTCGTGACGTCGTCTTCTTCTTTTGGTGACGTGGGGAAATGGTTACATATTAATCTTATTGAATTCACTCACCCTTGGAGAGGGGAGTGGATAAAAGACTTGAACCCAACCAACGGTGGGTCCAGATATTCTGAGTGGTCCCAATGCCATTGGGCAATCCAAGGTCTTCCTGTATCAGAATCCTACTCTAAATTAGTGGGCATAAATGGTGTGAGAGATATATGTTGTCCTTCGGAGCTGCTTGTTTAGAGAAAGCGTGTGCAAAAGTATTGGATTCGTGGTAAATTTTTTTATTGTAATCTGTGTTTGTCCCTGATTCTCTTGTGATTTGTTATGTAGAGCTTGATGCTCTAGAAGCAGACATGGGGATGGAGACTGAAGGTGATGGGGTACCCGCTTATCTTCAACCTGATAATGAACCTGATCTAGAAGCAGAACTCAGCTTGCCTTCGGCACCAACTGGGCACGGAGCGGTTCCAGCTGGAAGAGCCAACAACCAGGTAAACTTATAGCTGCCTGTTATCCAGGATCTTTTTTTAGATGGTAGTAGTGATGGAAAGGGAAATTAATTTCTGTTTGTAGTAAATTTATGACATCTTTTTTTGTCAGTATTGCTGCTGCTGCATGTCCTTTTTGCATTTTTCATGCATTCATAATACCCCTCTTCTTTTTTTTTTTGGAGGGAGGGGGGGGGGGGGGGTGGGGTCATATACTTTCTACATTTGACCATTTATTTTACATGGCAGGCTGAAGATGAACTGGGTTTACCCGCTGTCCCTCGTGCATCCCTTCGTGGTTAGAGAGCGAGTTGGCTGGGGTGAGTTACTATTTGCATTTTCTCAAGGGTCTATTCATCATCTCGGAGGGATCAGGTTGGGTTGAACCATTGTAAACATACTGTGCAGAATTTATCCCTGGTTGCTGTAGTGTTGTTTTGCTAATTAATGTCAAATAATTGACTATATTTCATGATAAAGCACCACGGTGCACACTAAAAAGGTTCCAAAAGAAATTATTATTGTCAACAGGCTGTGGGAATTGGGAGGGAAAATTGCAGGAAAACTGATTTCAATGTGGTTATTGATCATTTTATGTGGAGATTCTGTGAAAATTTATATTGCATTATTCTATCCATTTAACTTATGGTATGATATTATTTACCCAAAAAAAACGTATGCTATGATAGGTTGAATTGGGGGTGAGTTTGACCAAGACTTGGTACCATGTGTGCAAAAGTATTTCAAGTGGCTAGACTTGTCCTGTAATCTGGAAAGCTTGGTTGATGTACCCATGCCTTCATTCCTTAAGGTGACCATATCAAAAGCAAAGTCCCTCATCTCTAACGCAAGTGCTCTAGAATTTGCTAAGAGATTTATGGTTTATAAGGTTACACTTGACTTTAGTCCTGTATTCCTTCGGATTGTCCGTACTCTCTCTTTTGGAGTTTCAGTTTTCCTGTTTTAAGAGTTGCGAGTCAATTTGCTGTGTTCGTACAGGTTATGCGGTGGATCTTAAGTTTACTCATGTCAAGGTCTTCCGACATCTAAATGTAGATCTCCCCCATCAGTCAGACAGATGCGAGCGTTAGAGATTCAAGATTCCCGATAGAATCGATTCAAGCGATTGAAAGAGGACAGATTGATTGATAGTGGTTGGACGGATGACCGTGTTATTGGATGAGCTGCTTTGCTAGACTTGTCTAAAATTAAATGAACTCTCAGGAGCTAAACCAAGGAGCTAGTCAAACTCACATGTAATTGGTTCGAGTCTCACTAGTTATATAAATCTTGAATTTGTGGTTATACATGTGCACCTGACGACTTGAAGAAGTGGCACTGGCCCAGCGTTTCGAGTCTTCGTTCCTTGCCTTTTGCCTAATGCACCAGTTTACAAGATTGTGTTATTTTCTATCGATTTCAAAGAGGGAAAGAATCATTCCTAGATCTATGAATTACTTCCTTTTCCGGTACCCGGAATTTATTATGACTACTTTCTGGATTCATACTTGCAGCACAAATTTCAAATGCATGTAATCAATCACCCACAATTTCATCATCGAATCCAATCAGAAGAACAGAGAGCTCTCCAGTCAGATCTAATATCACAAAATTTTGGATAAACTCGAAAAGCAAATGACATAATGAACCCCAGCTAAGTGCCTAGGTCCAACAATATAACGCATAGCCAAACCAAGAATGATCAGACATCTCTTTATTTTACACTGCTGCTAGGACACATCAAGGTTAAAAACATGGCTCACACTGGTCAGAAAAAAATGCAGCTGAATTGTCAAAAAAAGACCCTTGGCAGCCATTTCCTAGCTTCGATAATTTAATATCGTATCATACACGATTGAACTTTGTATCACACACATCCAATACAGAACGATAATCAAAATAATTTTGATGGCTATGCATAAATGTTTTATACCATGTTTTACTAGGAGAAATCCATTATTTCTAGCTGTTATCAAGCACAGAGGCAACGACATTGTGAGTCTCAAATGGAAAATGCATCTCCTTAAGAGCTTTTCAATCAACAATGTATTTGGTCACAGCAAAAAATATAATGGCATTTTCCACTTGACGTGTGTTCATTCCTAGGACACAAGTCCACTGGACAGGAGTGTGAACGATGACTATTGCCATGAAGCAACACCACATTGATGCCTTGTATCACATAATTCCATGCAAAGTAACGGCTACAATCCTTCCAGCTCTGTCAGGATCTTCAGTTAATGTCAAGTTTTCCCAAGTCTAACATTTGCCAAGTAGCCTCTGAATTAGCTGCCTGAATAGCAGAGCTTGACCTGAAATAGGTGCTGGCCTTGCCCTTTGGGGAATGTTTCAAACAGATTTTCAGCCTCTCAACTTCTTTTCTAAGAGATTGGTATTGACCTGCACAAATTCATAGAAAAATATAAGCAAAGTGAAAACAAATTATTTGTTCTTCAGCAGAAGACGATACCAAAGATGGGAGACAGCACTCATATATTTACATCATTCAGGATGATTGCAGATACACAGAATCAAAAAATTCTCTTACATCATTTCCTCTGATCTTTTTTTTCCCCTATTTTTGAATGATTCCCTATTTACGACCACTGGATATAATCCCAGATGCGCAAGAGGGTAGTATCTAGAGTTCATCAGGCCCTTGGTTTTGAAAGACTTTTTGAGGGACGATTCACATCTCACCTCAACTACAGCCAAGAAATACCTTCAAGCTTTTAAAAGTTGGCGAACGCTATTTGGCTTTAGCGTTTATCCTTTTGAGACAAGGCATAGTAAAGGCACACTTTTTAAGCTATTTTACACCAACCCTATCTCCCATACATAATAATTTCTAGCCTATTAACATTGAGTTCTAATAATCAAAAATATCTCTAGCGGCCACACTAACATGTGCATCAGAGTGCACCACATATAGCACAGAACACAAAATGCCCACACACAAGCAATATTTGTTGCATATGACTTGATTACCATTGAGGATAGGGGTGTTCACCCTACGCTATGTTGGAGTTATAGTAGCCTAGGTTATTAAGGTTTATTAGAGTTTTTTCCCTTTTTATATTTTTATCCTTATTGTGACTTTTATTGGCTATATATATGGGGGCTCTACACTTAGTTTGTATCCCTTTCACTTACATCTATCTCAAGTTGGTATCAAAGCCATACTCTAACCTTAACCCTAGCCTCCACCATAATTCTTCTAGCATACCTCCAATCACTAGCCGACCAACAAGTCTGCTCAGCACCTCCACCATAATCCTTCCAGCAACCAAACAAAACAGCAACCAGTAACCCAAGTCTGCACAACACCAACAACTAGCAACCCCTACAACCAAACTAAAACCAGCGACAAAACCAAAGCCACCAACTGACTCATCACCGACAACATAACCGACAACATATACCAACAACCCAATACACCGACAACATATACCTGTGACCATACAGCACAAACACAGTACCCCATTGCCCAGTAATCGACTCACCAACGAGAAAAAAAAAAAGGCAACCAGCAAAGAAATCCAGAGACCAGAGCACTCCATTAAACCAAACAACCAAGCAACTCAATCACCGACCAAAGCACTCCACCGACTACCTCTTCATTATACCAGTGACAGACCCAGCCCATTAAACATATACCTAACCAGCCCACTGTCCAACCAAACCCCATACAACCCATAACCCAGCAAACCCAAAAATAGCAACTAGCGACCCAGCCTACCCAGCCCACTGACCCAACCCACAACCCAGTGAACCCAAAAATAGCAACCAGCTACCCAGCCCAAACCCCATGCAGTCCAGACCAGCCCAGCCTACTGCTGGGTCACTACTCAACCCACTCCTCAGCCCACTGTCGGGTCGTATTTTTTTTTCGTTGTAACTTCGTTGTTCGCATTCTTTGTCACAGTGCTGCCAGGTTGCAGTATCTAAGACCGTTTTAAGAGGGATTGAATCCTCTTCTCCGTCGACCTGCTCTTGATGCAGTAGATCATTTATTTATATTTATTAGATTTCTGGGTATCGTGACCTGATTATTTGGGAGTTTTCTGGACTTTCTTTATCTGTCGCTACTGTTCGACTGGAGGTATATTGTTCTCCCTTATTTTATCCCTCTATCTTAGAGGTTTTTTTCTGTCACGAGTGCCCTAGTATTGTTGTTGATATGACTACTATTGAGGACATCTCTACTGTTAGTACTTCCACCTGAAATGTGCCTCTTGGTTCTCGTCAGTGTGATTATTGTGGCCGACCAGGACATCTCAGGGCTACTTGCGGGAAGCTCCATTCGGAGCTTAAGTCACCTCCTCGCAACCGTACTGCTGGTATTGTTGAGGTACCACCACCTACTGCTGTTTCTCCTATTGCTGCTCCTCCTTGGTAGAGTGATATGGATGCTATCACTTCTCGATTGGAAATACTTATGTCTACCCTAACTTCTCAGGGTGTGACTACTGCTACTGCCACCACTACAGGTATATCTCGTGCCTTTCATGCTTGCGCTAATCCGTCTCCCCTTTGGATGTTGGACTCGGGTGCGAATGGTTATATGACTGGTAAAACCAATCACTGTACCACTATTGACGAGCAGTTACATACACAGGTTCAGCTAGCATATGAGACACACGCTCCTATTGTTAGTAGGGGTACAGTCCGCCTCCCAGATGGCTTTACATTATATTCAATTTTTCATGCGTCAAAGCTAGCCATGGATCTATTATCCGTACATCAGTTAGCTACAAATTTTCACTGTGCGGTTGTGTTTTTATCTGATTCATGTTATTTGTAGGACCTGAGTACTAGGAGGATAATTATCAGGGAACATGAGAGAGATGAACTGTATTATCTAGGTGATCCACCTTCAGTTTCACCAGTTCCTCCATCTTCATCACCTGAACCTGCACCTGTTTTTTCTTTATCTATTCTTAGCTTGCATGCTAATATTTTTCCTAGTACTTATCGTTATGATTTTTCATCACAAACTGTTTAGTTGTGGCATGACCGTTTTGGACATACAAATTTTAAATATTTATGTATGTTATTTCCTACTTTGAGCAATGCTTGTATTGGTGGTAAACTTGACTGTGTTATATATTCTCTATCGAAACATGTTCGGACCAGTTATATTCCTCGCATGCACTAGTCACCCAAGCCATTTGATCTGATACATTATGATATTTGGAGACTTTCTCCTATTATTGCTTTGTCAGGTACTCGATACTATGTGACATTTATAGATGATCATACCCGTTGTACTTGAGTCTACCTTTTGCATAGGAAGTCTGATGTACTCCCTGTCATCACTTTCTCCAGATGATTAAGACACATTTCGATGTCATTGTTCGTGCTCTTCGTTCGGATAATGCCAAAGAATGTGTCTGATGCCTTAGTATCTTACCTTTCCTCTCAGGGTATCCTTCAACAACTCACTTGTCCATATACTCTTGAGTAAAATGGAGCTGTTGAAAAGAAAAATATGAGTCTAATAGGGATGGTACGCTGTATACTTAGAGGTATGGGAGTACCAAAGTCTTATTGACATTTTGCTGTTTTGACTTCTACCTTTCTGTGTAATCGTATACCCAGTCATGTTCTTCAGTACAGGGCTCCCTTACAGGTCTTATTTCCTGAGCGGACACTTTTTTTGGTCCCCCTCGTATTTTTTGTTATACATGTTTTGTTCAGGATCGATCTCCTACTCGCCATAAGCTTGATGATAAAACGATTCGTTTTGTCTTTGTGGGCTATTGTCATCAGTCTAAGGGATATCGGTGTTATGATACTTCCTTTGATGATACTCCCTTTGATTTTCCGTTATCACAAGAGCCAGAGCCATTAGTTACTATCACTACAGAGTTCTCAGTCTCTTCTCCTCCAGAACCACTCGTCCCAGTCAGTACAAAGTCACTAGTCTCTCTTCCTTTACAGGTTTATGTTCGTCGCCCTCACTCTTATCTCCCTGCTGATGTCCCCTCTACCTTAGACGATGCAGGTAATACTTCTCAGTTCGTTGAGCATATTGATGCACCTGTTATTAATACTGATGAGATTGTAGGTATTGAGCCAGTTACTGTCCCTGATGAGACATTGCCAGTGGAGGATGATGATTTAGGCATCATTATCTGCAGCGTGATCGTCGTCTAGTTGTTCGTTATGGTTGGACTATCAGGACTTTATATCCAATCTTTGCTTATGTTTCTTATGGTGATCTGTCTCCTATATTTCAAGCTTATAGTATAGCATTATCAGATACACCAGTTCCTCACTCTGTTTTAGAGGCTATGCGAGAGCCCCAATAGGTTCTTACCATGCAGACGGAGATGGACGCTCTTCAACGTAATCATATGTGAGATCTTGTCTCTTTACCTTTAGAGGTGAAATCTGTTGGCTGTCGCTAGGTTTACACCCTAAAATTTTTTGCGGATGGTACTATTGATCGTCACAAGGCCAGGCTTGTGGTGAAAGGTTTTACTCAAGTACCAGGTCGTGACTTTGGTGCTACATTTGCTCCCGTGACAAAATTGACTATTGTTTAGTTGATTATTTCTCTGGCTGCAGAGTACTTTTGGCCTCTTCATCAGTTAGATGTGAAAAATGCATTTATTCACGGTGATTTGGACGAAATTATTTATATGGATGCACCACCGGGCTTTCATGGTGAGGGAGAGTATGCTGTGAAGGTGTCGACTGCGTAAGTCTCTCTATGGACTAAAACAGTTACCACGAGCCTGGTTCTCTCGGTTTAGTGATGTAATTGTACGTTTAGGATTCACCAGATGTCATTCAGATCATACATGCTTTATTTAATGGAATACTTCTAGGCAGTGTGTCATGCTTTTGGTATATGTGGATGATATTATTATTACCGAGGATGATATTTCTGGGATTGCACAAGTCAAGGTAGACTTTGGAAAAGCCTTCAATGTGAAGGACCTTAAATTTCTGCAATACTTTCTTGAGATTGAGGTTGCCCGTAGCAGCAAGAGTATTGTTCTTTCTTAGAGGAAGTATGTTCTGGATCTTCTATCGGACACTGGGATGTTGGGATGCAAACCGGCATCATCTCCCATGATTCCAAACCTAAAGGTTACTACTTAAGGTGAGGAGTTGAGTGATCCGTCTATTTGTCAGAGGTTAGTAGGTAGACTTATCTACCTAGCCAACACTAGGCCAAACATTTCATTCGCTGTCAGCCGAGTTAGTCAGTTCATGCACAGGTCGTGTCAACCTCATCTGGATGCAGTTTATTATATTCTTCGATACCTCAAGTCTTGTACTAGACTTGGATTGTTCTATGCATCAAGAACTTAGACTGGTTCTCTAACCTGTTATTCAGATTTAGATTATGGGGAAGTGTGTGACGGTCGATCTACTATGGACTTTTGTGCTTTTCGAGGGACTTATCTTATCTTTTGGAAGAGCAAGAAACAGTCAGTTGTCTCTCGCTCGTCAGCAGAGGCAGAATATCGGGCACTAGCACATGTGAGATTATCTGGCTACGATCGATTCTTGGCGAGTTGAGATTTTCAGTGACTTCTTCATCTACATTATATTGTGATACTTGATCTGCTATTCAGCTCGCTTCTGACTCTGTATTACACGAGAGGACGAAACATATAGACATCGATGTTCACTTTCTTTAGGAGAAGGTTAACAGTGGTATTATCACTCCATCATTTGTGGAGACTAGTGATCAGGTTGCAGATGTTTTCACCAAACCTGTCACTCTATCCATTCTTCGGGACTCCATTGTCAAACTTGGCTTAGTTGACATTTTTGCACCTAACTTGAGGGAGAGTGTTGGAGTTATAATAGCCTAGGTTATTAGGGTCTATTAGAGTTTTTTTTTTTTTTTACATTTTTATCCTTGTTGTGACTTTTATTGGCTATATATATGGGGGTTCTACACTTAGTTTGTATCCCTTTCACTTACATCTATCTCAAGTCGCTACGAGTAGGAATTATGGTATTTTATCTTCCTACCTGATATTTTGCGGAATAATTTTTTCTTGATCTACCCTACCCGATCAAATGTACTATTCCTACCCGAATTCTGTCCAAAACAATCAGGTAGGAAGTTGGGTGAACACATTTTTGGATCATTTTAACAATTTAATTAAGTAACCTGCATCAATTAACTAACACAATAAACCAATAACACTAAAAAAAAACACAATAAATTCGATAATACATAAACAATTTCTATAAAACACAACAAGAAACAATCGATATGCTCAAATCAAAATGCCGCAAAATTGTTTAAACAGTAACAATCGATATGCTGAGGGCTATCTCCTTGTACATACATTTATCTCGTCAGCTGGACGCTCTGAGCTTGCTTACTAAGTTCTTTGAGTTGACTAGGCTAAGAGATTTGGATGATTTAAGTGTTTTTTTTTTTAACTCTTTTAGGGTTAAGAGATTTCATGGTTTTAGAAAATAATATATAGGGTGTAGTGAAGAGTAGGCTGAAGTGACAACCCAGTAACCAGACGTTTCTGCATGGATTATCCTTGAACCAGTGCCATACATGGGATATGGGAGTGGTTGCATGTACTAATAGCGGTAAATCTGGACTCTAAATGGGTTGGGAATACCATGGTTATAAACCAGAATAAGAGAGGTTACAGCAATTAAGCAATATTTCAAAATTCTGTGCCATGTGGAATCAAGTGCTCTCAAAGAATTCAAGGGTTTCAGCTGAACATCCGTGGACTTTTTCACTGCCCCTTCTCACCTGCAGCTAGTAAGGCTAAGTTTTAAATATTACAGACTTATTTACTATTCAGCCTATCTTTGACAATTTTATGTTCACCATGGCATCTCATTGAAATTGTAACACTTCAGACTTTCCAGCGCCGTTAATCTTCTATGTCACATTGATCTCAGAGATGATTTTGACTCGATTTACTATGTCAACGAACAATAGTTATTTAAATTTGTCTCCGTCTCGTATATGAGAAGTAGTTGGAGTGGATATCTCCAGGGTCAAGTGCCTAGTAAACAATATCTTCTATTAAGGTGTAGGATAGAACAATCTTTCATACTTCTGTCTCGTGTACGATCATGGGACCAAAAATTACTTCTTGTCTGAAATGCCGTACCAAGACTGGAACCAAAAAACCCAACGAGGGGGGAGTGAAGTTGAAGTTTTGGATCCCAATATAAAATCAAGAATGCTTACATGGAAGCCTCAACAATTCACAGAGCACAAAGAAATTTTCATATATTGTATGGCCCAAGCTTGTATGTGGCAATGAAAGCCCTGCTAGCAAACTATTGCATTCAAAGAGAATCGTGATTTTTCAAGTGTCATTTAATTATGCAAGAAGTACATATTAATTGATGTTTTACTGCAGTGGAAAATTAGCAACTACACTATTATGTGTTATATGTTGTTTTCTGTTAAGCTTCAGCACAAGACAGAAAGAAGAGGGTTGCCAGGGATTTTTCTGATCTCACGATTCCTTATAGGCAAGATGGAAGTACTCTTAAAAAATTAAAGGAATCGAGTTACTTCTTTGGCTTTTGAAAAAATCAGAACCACAAAAATTTGGAACATATGTGCTATACCTTAATGTGCCTAGGAAGACCTAAAAAAAAGAGGTTGTTTAACTCACCATCTACCATCAATTTTTCCTGCTGCAGTCTAGCCAGCTGCTGCTTTAGTTTGTTGTTCTCCATTGACAACACAACCCGCTGCTGAAGAAGAGAAGCAACTCCGACAGCCAAATCTGACTCTAAAGTCTGCAATATGAGATATTTACATTTATTTCAACAGAAAACAATTGATGAAAATTAGTAGCATTATCAGCAATAAGATAAAAATGGAACCACAAACCAGATAACTCTGGACTGATATAAAGCCCATTACCCAATTCATTCACATTGCATGCCAGGATATTGTACAAAGCCTTTTACAAGAAAAAATTTTAGTCGCCAAAGTCTAAACTACTATAGTTGGGGCATGTAAACGGGTTTCGAATGCTAGGATTCAGGGCCAGACATTGTGTATTTCAAACCAAGCTCATGTTTGCGACACTGGGTTAGGCTATATGTCATACAATAAATTAGTCTTTACTATGTGAACATATTAGTGCTCCAACTGCCTGCTCCTAAATTATGAAAAAACTGGAAGGTATACATCCTTGGTTTGCTCTTTCTGCTGCATATGGTTAGCTGGAGTTTCTGAGGCATCATCTAAGTAAATAGAAATTCAACACTAAGATGATTAAAATGGCCTTCACATGATAGTCAGATAATGAATGAGATCATATTAGATAAGCAGTGAAGTAGCACAAAATATTTGCATTCCCTATTTCTCATGACTAACCTGAAACACATGAACAGTTCTCTCAAGTTCAGCTATGTATTGGAGTTTGCGGACTCTTGACCGCTGCCCAGAATGCCTATGAAAATTATCGCTCCATATATTAAGACATGTATAACACTCGCATCAGAATATCTGCCTTAAAATTAATAATGGAATAGACATGGCCCTTGAAGAATGGATGTTACAATGTATATAACCACTCAACAACGTGGAGGAACAAGACAACCAAATGTGTCCGCACATAAAAACATAAGCAAACTGGGTGCATTATTATGCACAAATACAAAAAGAGGGAACCAAATGTGGAAGGAGGATTAAATCCAAGACCTCACAAAACTTAAAGCTCTGATTCCATTTTATACTGCCAAGTACCCTAAAAAATTAAGCTGTTCAAGAATGTGCATAAATTACTCTACAGTACAAATCCATGTTTCTAAATACACTACAAACAACAAAAATTTAAAGACAAGCAAACAATACAGAGGGAGTGGTAAAGACCTTGCACAGTCCTTACTTACATGAGCTAATAAGATAATTGACATATCCTGAAAAAGAAAAGGAAAACAGATAAGATGTACAGAACTTTCTTCAGGTATGCTTACACAAGTAGGTAGCTCAACGGAAAATGATCTAATGAGTACATGAGTTTCCTCGGTAACACAAGACTGCATTACAGCATGAAATAAGAGCTTCTTGATGCCACATTTTGCAAATGTGATCCTGAAAAGCTTGGACAAAATTGAGAGATAAATGTGCTACAGAGCGCAACAGTGCATTGAACACCAGAAACTAATGTTAAAGAGGATGATGTTTTAACAGCACAATGATGAAACCAATTTTGTTGGTACAGTAAGAAATTAAACCACTGAATTCTATTGGGTTGTTTAATATGTGAAAAAACTGAAGTTTGAAAAATTTTATGCACTCAACCTTACTCTCACAATCTTATAACGACATTTTTTGAGTTCCGCTTTGATTTTGCAGCAGTTGAAACTTGAAAAATTGGATATTTGGGTTGAGGAAAAGAAAGAGAAGTAGAAGAAAAGACAGAGAAATATTATTAAACAATATTGCTAGTAGGCTATATGTTGCCAATGGCCCAACACCCCCACAATTTCTTTAATTAGATTAATATTGAAGACAATTATAATATTAGGAAAGTAGAACACAATAGGGAAAGCACATTATAGGAAAGGAGAACAATTGAAAAATAGAACAATAGGAAAGTAACACTGCGACACTCCCCCTCAAGCTAGAGTATAGAGAATCAGAGATAAAAATGCTTAGCTGGGAATAAAGGCTCCAAAAAATAGACAACATCAATGGTTAGGGGAAAAAATCACTAAATTGACCCACAATACTCCTCTAAGCAACAATCCAGGGTGGTTGCTCATGTTAAGTCTAAGACATTCTTTTTGTTTTCTAAAGAAGAAATAACAACCAATAGTAAATGGCGATCACGAGATCACACAAGAACACAGTGACAAAGGACAAACACAACAACACTACCACCACCACCACCAACACTGGTACAAACCAACACAACGAACAACACCAAATGAGTCATAGGCAACAACAAATAAAACTACTAGAATTGAAAATAAGGTAAACCAAGCAAAACTAGAGTTGAATTAGCCAAAAGGAGTTGAATCAATCCTGAAAGCCACAAAACAATACAAAACCGGGATGAGCACTCCATAATTGGCATTAAACTAGGCAAAAAAACACTAAGCCGTACGAAAACCACTAAACCAGTGCCACAATGTGCCAAAAATTACTAAACTAACATTAAACTAGGTTGAAGACACTGAACTGCCAGGATGAAGACCACTAAACCAATACCATATTGGCCGAAAACTACTAAACCGGGCTGAAAACACTGAATTGGAATTGAACTGTGACGGAAACCACTAAACCAACATCAAACTAGCCCGAAAACTATTGAGCCGACAGTAAACCTGATTGAAAACACTGAATTAGAATTGAATCGATATGAAAAATACTAAACCAACACCAAACTAGTCTGAAAACCAATGTATTGGTACTAAACTAGGCTAAAAACACTGAATTGAAATTGAACCATGACAAAAACCATTAAACCATAATCAAACTAGGTCAAATACCACTGAACCAGTGCTAAACCAGACTAAAAACTAAAATTTACATCGATGATCAGACACCGGAGAACACTGAGTCAAGTACCTCATAACAACTTATAACGATCACAACAGTCAATGAGCAATTGATGAAGATACCGATGACAAAACTGCAAGTTAGAGTGATTCTGGCGACAACAACAACGGGCAAACATGCAGACGACTAGAACTTAATGTGTGTTGGACCGACTCAAGGACTAGATGAGTGAGGCGCCTGCCTAGGGTCGGGCCCCACTCACTCAAGTATCTTGCTCTGATACTAAGTTGAAACTTGAATAATTGAGTATTAAGGTTTAGGAAAAGAAAGAGAATGAGAAGAAGAGAGAAAGTGAGATCTTATATAACAATATTGCGAGTAGGATATATGTTGTCAACACCCTATTATCTATTTATATTAGATTGATATTGAAGACAATTACACTATTAAGAAAGTAAAACACGATAGGAAAACCATATAATAGCAAAGAAGAACAATAGGAAAGTAACATTCTAACAACAAGAATTCTAAAACAAGCTACAAATGACAAGGCATTGCAACCACAATACGGAATGTAGATGAATATAACTTCTTTTAGTCCATGTTATTGATTTAAAATCTTCAATAACATAGCACATTGGTCTTAATAGTCTCCAACCAATGATTGATAAAAGAGCTCATTTTTGTTCAATCGAAAGGTTCGCAATGCATCCATTACCAGTCCTTAACATGAATCTCAATTACTTACCAATGATTAGCATTTTTGTTTTTGTTTTTCTTTTTGTCTCCCATAAAAGACAGGTAGAGATTGATTTCTATTTTTGGTGAAACAATGAATCTCGATTTCCCTTTTTACCACTCCTCAAATTTCTCATAATGGATAAAAGATCAGTAGGTCAATGCAAACCTCATATGCCTTCAGCATCAAAGATTTGAAATATGATGGTCTTGATAGGAGATTTGTTCTTTCTTGTTGAGATTGTGAGATTTCTTCCCGAAGTATTCCTTCTCCTGAATTTTTAGAAACCCTATGCCTTTCTTATGTTCAATGCTTGGGATTTTTTTTTTTTTTTGAACTGGTTCAATGCTTGGACTTGAAGATGGGAGAGTAGTACGCAGAAGGTGAAATCGTGATTCATGTTTCAAAGTGAGAGATAATTTACACTGCAGCATATGGTTCATTTCCTAGTTCGGCATGCTCAGAAATCAGCTTAAGGTGTTAAAACCAGTTCCGAGCACCAACTCTGAAACTGTTTAGGTAAGATACAAAATCCTCATGTGATTTACATTTGAGTGTTGGTTAGATCTATGAACACCATAACACAGCCATGATTGTGAGCTGTTCTTGTATACAAACCATTTGTGTTGCTGTGTTTTAGTATAACTATGTGTATGTTGGAAGCAACAAAGACACGTCTCCACCTTAAACAGAGCATTCGTCACATATCTTTGGACTATTTAAATGAGGGTTCAACAAAAGGCCAAGTGCAACAGTGGCAGTTTGATTACAAAATTTTCCCTGGAATATTGCCTGCAATTGAAGATTATAACCTGTTAACATGCTAGCTTGTAAACAGAACTAGATGGAAATTGTGTCCAGTGGTGGTAACCTGGATACACAAATTGGAGAGAGGTAATGGAGCATAGAGGAAAAGAACCTACAAGGCTACAACGATAGAACTAGATTGTTGAGGATAGTTTTGTCCACTTCAAAAAACTTCTAAGAGCAAACAACTGAGTGTTCAATGATCAGCGTTAAACTCCATGTGCCTTGAAATTTTAACTGGGCTATCAAACAATGCCCAAGTGAAAGGCAATGGAGCAAGCCATGCGAAGCAGTCATTTGTAAAGCTTTCAAAACAGAAAAATTGCAGCAGCTAATTCTCACTTTCAAAGGATCGGGAATACATTTCAAGAGTAGAGGGGAGAAAGAGGTGAAGAAAAAAGGGAAAAAAGAAGCAAATGTGAGCAAAACTGACATGGAATGAAATACTAAAAGAGAAGTACACTGGGCCATTTGGTGGATATATTTAGAAAACGTTATTGGTGTATGATTGCTTATTGAAAACATGTGGTTGCCAGCAGGTACTGGCCAGGGTTTCATGATGGGACACCTGTCAACAACCTTTTATCCAATGAGCAAGACTTATTATGGAAATGCGAGGGGTAAAAGTAGATTGAACTTAATTTTGAAAAGACAGTAATGAATGATATAATATCTTGCATTTTACCACAAAATATGGTCCTTGATAGACATCATCCAAGATCCTCTTGGGATTATCGTACACCCTTGACGTCATCCAAGATCCTCCAAGACTTGCCAAATGATGCCTCAGTAGCTCATAATCCTAACTTTTCTCTCTACCTCCTTTACAATCTTATCTTACTGAAAAAGATTAATTTCCGAGTCAGTGCTTTTTCATCATGGAAAGACTTTCCTGTGTATTAATATTCTTACAAGCTATATATTATGACGCTCACTCGAAAATTCTAATGGTATTGCTAGGAGTTAATCGCTTGGATGGTGGTTACTTGGCCAAACTAGAACTGATTAGGTACACTACACCAGTATGTTTGCTCCGTTCAATGCCAAGATTTGTGATTGCTGGCTCTTCTTGGGTATATAGACACTCAAGCTTACATAAACACAAAACCTATCCTTCAAGCTTACTACAATAAAACCAAGACATCGCAAGCTCCCGGGTAATTGTGGAGGCTTACATGGTAGTACATGAGAACCATATCTTACTGAATAATCTGACTGAATGAGGAAGAGCTCTTTATGTGGTCTCACTTTACCACCATCTGAAATCTCCAGATTCCTATTCTTATGGTTGTCCCATCTTTGAATGTCTGATGTCTACTTCAAACACACATTAATCCGAGTGGATACAATTTAAATCAAGGATGACTGAGAGACTCCAAAAAAAATAAATCCAAGGTCAAAAGAACAAACAACGATCCAGTCAATTATCGTCAATCCCAGATCAAAAAAAATTATCATCAATCCATTTATCATAATGAGGAATAGCAGTTTGGTGATTGTGTGATACGTTCCAAAATTGAAACAGAGGGACTTAAAACCAAGCTAGTTGAGAGAAACTGTACAAGGAAAATATCATCATGAATACCGTGAGGGTATTAGTTTTGCCTACAAACATTAAAAATTCAAACAAGTGGTATATTCTGAGCAAAACACGTATACAGTTCTGCAGGAAACTATCTCACAGTTTTGAAACTACATTCTGAGAAAAATATGTTGAGAAACAGGGCAAACAATTAAAAGCTTTTCATAGACAAATTTAAAACCAATAAACCACAGCATTCAATTCAGACTTGATTATCATACGTCAAGCAAATGCACTGATGTTATGATAGTGGAAACGAAAGAGTAGAAATCAGTATGGAGAAATAGGCATATAAGTCTAGCATCTTACTGTTTCACTGGCTTTGTCTCAGCATTGACCTTCCCAGGGGAACCACAACCATCTCGTACAGATTCTAATTGCACATTTCCAGAAATGCAGAGATCCCCATCCAAATACGGCAGAGGGTTTTGAGATACATATTCTGATAGTGCTGAAACAATGGCATGTTCCGGATTGTTCAATTCGCCCTTGCTTCGAGGGGAATTAGGACCATAGATACAAGCTGACTCAAACCCGCCACCATCTTCACTAGTCTCCAAACTTTGATCATCATTATGCATGTAAAGACATGCTGATGGAACAATGCCATCCAAAAGAGTCACAGGATCACTAGCGGATCGACGGTGTAATATACCTTTGGAATTTGAGTCAGAATCACTCAACAAATCATTGAGCCATGCTGGCTGATCCTCTAAGATGGAGCTTTGTGAAATAGATTTTTGGTGTCGAGGATACAACTCATATGGGGTTGGGGAGATAGGGTCATGAGTCGGTCGCGGCACAGTTTTCTTTTGAAATGGGCAGCGAGGTGGAAGGTGAGCTTGCCTTGACATGGTGAACTAAATTACAAGGTGAGCATCAAAGCTATGATGGTTATTATACTTTAGCTGCTGCGTGCCTCATCCACAACAGAATAGTACAGAGACGGCCTTGCTTAAGTTGCTTAACCCCATAAGTCTGTCACGACCATCACCTAACTAATTGGAAAACTTTACAACAATAAATAAGGATTTTATAGCAGTAAAAATTTTTGAGAGTCTCCTGAAAAACATAAAAACCACTGCTATAATAAATTTCAGTAATACTGTTGTTTGCATTTACAAACTCAACAAGTTCGGAAGTTCCCATATTTATTTGTCTTAACTAGATATAGAAAAAAAAAAACATTGATAGTTCAATAATATATTTTTTAAGAAAAAGGGTTCTAGTTTGTTCTGGCTTATATTCTACCCAAAAACAAAAAAGAAAACAAATATGACAACGAAAGTTGTTGTAAATGTTCAATTTTTGTCATTTCTTAACTAATTTTCAAATACCAGAGAATTACAAAAGACCAATCTGCCGCATTTAAGTGTTCTATGCATTGAATAATCAAATACGAGTCTAAGTAAAGAAAACATGACTACGCCAAATTTGTAGACAAAATAATTGAGAAGAAACAGATTTAATTGATGCAACAGTAACACTAAACAGAATGGTTCAGAGTTTAACAGACAATAGAATCAAAGAAAAAAAAATATACAAAACTGATAAAAAAAAAGTCGAAACATACTTTATTTGGCTGCAGAGAAAAACGAACTAGAGAACTGACTGCCAACATTATTTTCATTGCTCTGTTTCCAGAAAACCTAAACAATAAACTGGATTTGATTTCAAGGACAAGCAAACGGCAAGAAATGCAAATAACTCATGTTCCCACTCTCCCTTCATTTTCTTCAGCTTTCTTGGCAGCCAAACACACACTTACATTGAGAATATAATACCTATAATTACCATAACTCTAAAGCAAACAAACCCTTTACAAGAAAATTGAAATTTCAAACAAAAAATCACTTTTGACTTCCATATTTAGTGTTGCATGTTTACATTGTGTGAGATGCTGGCATACCTTTTCTTGGTTTCTCCTAATTTTCTTCTGCGATACAGAGAGAGAGAGAGAGAGAGAGAGGTGGAGGGTTGTTAGCCGAGTGAGGGAGTGATAGGTTAAGCTTAATGTGGGCTTGAAAAGCTCTTCCTTCCAAATAGATTTGAGAAGGGTGGTATACTTTTCACTCCATTGCAGAAGGAATGCAGCATTGTACGGACAAAGGGTGGTTTGAGTTGTGTACAGCTCAGCTTGGCCTTCACTTTTTATTTTTGCGAGTATCCAGAGGAGAGAGAGAGAGAGAGAGATGGACCATGCTCACCAAATGCCCAAACTCAGAGTCATGGTGGAGTGCACCCTGTATTGATTCTGCTGGGTTTAATCTTTTGATTAATTTTTCTCCCAAGATAGACAATCTCCCACTTAAACCTCCACTACATTGTTTTCCGACTTTTCTAACCAAAGATTATCATCACCTAATTTACACCTAATTATTCATAATTATTGAAGAATGACAAAAAAATAACAAACTCAAATTTTAATGAGGATGAAATATAACCACTAAATCTTTACATAAGAGTAAAATTTAATCATTAAAAATTTGAATCTCTTTTAATTTAAATAAAAAAATTGAGTTTCTTTTTATTTAATATAAGTTTAAGTAAAAGATTAAAATAATTTCTAAATGAAAGTGGTGTAAAAATGTACACGTATTACAAATATTAGTTAAAATTGGTGCTTTTGAGGAAAGAACAAATTTTTTTTTTGGTCATGAAATGCGACATTATATTAACCACTAAATGCAAATGAAATAGAGTAAAGTAAAACTGCAACACAAAAAGAAATAGGAGAAAACAAAACAGAAGCAGGAAAAACTATCCTCTTCCATGTCGAAATTTCTCTTGGATAAGCTCCATAATATGTGGCGGAGGATTGGTGATTCACTGAAGTGGTAGGCTACCTCTCTGTTTTTGTTGTGCTACAAAGTGTGCTACCTTGTTCGCTGATTTACCTATGTGTTTGAAAATAAGGAAAGGAATGTCCTGTGCATATCCTCGTATATCCTTTTGAATGAGTTCAATCTCCCTCAAAATTGCTTCCTGCCCTTTGGTAAGTGAATCAATAACCTTAGAATCAGATTCCACTCGTAGTACTTCTCGGAAGCTTTCTTTCAAAGCCATTTTACAAGCCTTTGCTTGCTGCCCATGCCTCAGAGACTATATGTGAATTAGATTCCATTGCTCTAGCTCATCCTGCTATCAGACTCCCTTTGTGGTCTCGAGCTACAGTAACATACGATTCCCTTTGAGTCTTGGCTAAAAAAGCTCTATCACAGTTCAAAGTTATCATGCTCAAAGGAGATGCTTCCCAAACATTCTTTTTGGCTATTCTTTCTTCTATTTTTCTTCCATATTCTGCCTCTCTTGTACAGGCGAAAGAGCTTGGTTAATTACCCTCTTTGGTCTTGGCTAGCGATGACTGTAAATCCACTCGTTATGTGCCTTCCAAATGAACCAGTAAAGGTAGGCTAAGAGTGGTTGTCCTCAAATGGGATCATCAATTTCATTCCTTAAAAACTAAAAAGACTCCATTAACCAAATTTCAATTCTGCTAACTAGGCATCTATCAATATGAATCTGTAGAGGGGATAAAACCTACACTTCTTTCACCCATAGGCATAGGAGAAAAAGATGCTCAGTTGTTTCTTCTTCTTCCCCCCACAAATAGGACATATTGGGTTCTTAATAACCTTTCCCTTCCATAGATCCCACTTAGTGGCAAAAGCTCCATTCATTATTTTCCATAAGAAAACTGGATCTTTGGTGGTGTTGAGAAAAAAACAATTGATGATTGATTATAAGAGATAAGAGAAAACATGTCTAGTACAAATGATTTAATTCATTTTTATAGTAGATACATATCAAATTTGAATATATTTTATAAAACATCATACTCAGTTTTAAGAGTTCAAGAAAACTAACAAACTCAAGTCTAAGTACCACCTCAAAAAAGAGCCTAACGATTTAATTAATTTGGTTACTTTTTGGAAAGTAAGTTTTTGATGTACCCAAAAATAGTATAATGTGTCATTAAAGTGATATGCATATTAACTAAAATATTTTGAATTTATTGCTAGTACATAAACTTAGGATACACGTAACTATCCTCAAACTATATATATCTAATCAAACAAAGTGTCTCATGTAAAAGACTCAAACTTGGGAGTGTTAATCACTCGAATTTTAACATACCAAACAACAGAGTATGTTGGACAAATAAAAACGTCTTGCAATCCTTCATAACATCATAGTTGGATTAAACTGTGGACTTAATAAAACTCTGGCTTACCTGAAAATGCATTCTTATTGGTCCATAATAGAAGCAGATGTCCAATGGTGATGGGTTGTGTGTGCTTTATGCAGCACGTTGAAGTTGTCCAATAGGAAGTTGGGTAATTGTACATATAGGAGTAAAATAACTAGTGAAGAATGCTTCGATGGGGAGATCCCCCCATTCCCGCCAAAAAGAAAATTCTATTGTTGCCAATTTACTTGGGGAAGAAAGGTCTATTGTTGTCAATTTACTTGATGGACTTGCATGCTACTAACGTTTGAAATTGGTAAAGAACTATGAAGTATGAAGTGCATATGTACATCCAATTTCTCTTTGGGCATAAAAGCAGATTCTTGCTTTAAACTAGTCTTCAAAAGAAGAGTTAATTATTTATTTGACATTTGAACTATACAATTTATGTTAATTAAGTCTCTGAATTATATTTGTGTTAGTTTAGCCTCCTCCGAATTATGCAATCTGCTTCCTCCGAATTATGCAATCTGACTCAATATGACTATTTCGTCAAAATTTGACACTAACTTTGACGAAAAATCTCACATGCACATTATGTGAGTCAAAGATTAGGTTATAACTTAGGGGCCACATGATGTAGTATTTTTTTGAATATATATTAGTATTTTTTTGTGAGTTATCACCCAATTTTTATCCCATGCCCAGCCGGTTTGAAATTTTCCATCGCATTGTTCATCCACGGCTAGAATAATATTTTTGGCTTATTCCATACTACGAAAAGCAAAACAAGAGCGGTAGAAGTAAATGTTTGGGTGAAATCCCTATAGTCCAATCTTATCTCGAACCAAATGCGTTGGATTTAAACAAGAGTAGTATAAGTGAACGCTTGGATAAAATTACTATATATAGTCCAATCTTTTTATCCTGAACCGAATGCGTTGGATTTCTTGGTAAAACTTTGTACTGAAAAGGACCCACACTTGTTTTTTTTTTCTTCGATCTACTCTTTCATCTCTCCCAAGTTTACAATTTTTTTTTTTGTAGTGAACCAAATGAATATTTGTAAATGGCGTCATGGGACATAACAAAATAGCATGATTTTAAAGATGTATTGGGCACGTCTTATATTTTTGATCTCTATCCTATAGATTTTGGATCATTTTCAATATAATTTCAACTGAATTTGCTACATATAAATGGATTCCTCCTCATATATATCCAGTAGTTTGCTATTGAGGAAAAGGGCAGAGAACTATATTAGAACCATTTTAAAATCATACAAATTAAGGATGGATAGTCATTAGTTACGTTCCCCTACTCCGCCAAATGCGAATACACCCTATAAACTTTGGAAATATTGTTAATTAATTTTATAATGAGTACTGTTTTACCTACTCTAGATGGACAGTTTTTATTTGTCGAAGAATCTTCCATGAAAGAAAGACTTACGATTTTTTTGGTAAAGAATAGTGATTCTTTGCATGAAAACTAGCAACTAGTGGTGTGGCTGCCTAGCCGACCACATAAAATACCAAAGTATTGAAAACTTTGCCCACTAAGTATGGACCATGGTTGTTTTATTTTGGGGACAGAGAGAACCAAGATGATCTCAGCTGTCCTGTTTGTTTTTGTGTCAATGTGTTCTTCTCTTTGCGGCAATCA